ATGTACAAAACAAACGCATGCAAACAATCAGCTGATCCTCTGGATTTTTGGACGACGCCTCTCTGTGGTTGCATTTAGCAAAATCATTTTGGCGGAAAGCAAAACTTGCCAATCTATACTCTGTAATCTGTGATTGACACTATGTTGACACTGTTGATACTTTTGACAGTGCAGACAGAGACAAGACTATATCAGGCGGACAGGGAAGTGATCTATGCGGGTTGTCATCTACTTCTCTTTATCTATGGTAGCCGGCTCTAACCATAGATGAAGACAACTAACTCTGGCTCTAACCGCAAAATTTACATGTTTTCTCAGGGTTAGAGAAAAGGAATAAACTCATTAAATACGATTTACACATAATGTCATTAATTTAATTAGCTCTCGGAGCTCTGATTTTGCTATTTTGCACCATATCTGTTTTCATTTTGTATCTTTTGACTTTTTGTCGCTTAATTGTCATTGATCATTGCCAGTCTGGATTTGTTTTAGGTTAAGTTAGTTTAAGGCAGAGCACTAAAATGGATCAAGAAGATAATAAAAACATTAATAACGTGTTGGAAATAGATCCAGATTATGAAACCACCAATACGGCACTTAGGAAAGCGGAATTACAAGACGCAGAAGGTACGCATTCATTTTTATTATCGAGTCCAGGTCAGGCATTAGTAATACATTTAAATATAGGCATTTAATTAGTGTTTAAATCAGCCAATGAATCAATAAGGTCCTTTCGTTTATGCAACAAGACGAAGGCTTTTGATTATTTTATTGAAAAAATAATTTGTGGTTGGTGGTTCCTTCAAAACATTTGGTATGTTTTGTGTAAATACCACACTAATGATGTTTGTTTATAGACAAATATTGATTCTATTTCAGCACCTTCCTGTTGTGCAGTTATATTTGTTTATCTGCGCTCTCCAAAACATATGTTTCAATTATGTTTCAAGTGGAATAATTTCGGATTATCGATTTAAAAAGGTGAAATCAACCCCTTGCTCTTTACTTGTTACTTATACAGTGTAGTTTGCCTAGAACATTCAATAAATAAATCACGCTCACTTTTTTATATTTAAAAATAAGTCTTCCACTGAAATTTAAGTTTCGTCTCATCTCTAAATTCCTTGCAGCAAACGGGGTGCACTGTTGCTCCCAATAGAAACGGACAATTGTAAAAAAGTTGCAACAAGTTTACTTGTAAAAGTCGAAATATAACAATAATAATAAGTTCGGACAAAAATGGGATAGAAATTCAAAATGGAACACAATCAAATGAATTTATAGAGATTTTAAGAATTTGTCGTTTCGATTGCCTTTATAAATTACAAAGTTAACAAGAAGAAAATTTGATTTAAGCCATGATGTACTTAATGAATATCTGTAATTTTTTTCTTGTTTGCAGTGATCTCCGTTAGCGTTCTTTAATAAGTAAAAATGGATGTTTTTCAAAAACTTGTTGGCTAAATTTTCAATAAATTTGTTCCTTTCTTCTAAGGTTAGAGAAGAAAATTGGTTTGTCTTTAAGTATTGACCTTCAGCGCCTCATACTTTCTCTGTCTTAGAAGCACTTATTATTGTGCGTTTAAAAATTGTTTTTTTTTCTCGCAAAGAAAATCGATCTTCTTAAAAAAATATTTGTATAACGGCAAGAACGGAGTAGAATATCACACCGACAAAGCCGACGCATTCGCCAGGCACTTTCAAAAAGCCTTTTTTTCAACTGGCAATAATTACTCGTGACACAGCTGCTCTGAAGATTTCAGATGTTTCACTGAGCCAGGATTTCTGCCTTCTCCCTATTGATTTTTCCCCTTACTCTTCCCTCGATGATCAACCGAAGTATTTCATATCCGTCACGTCTCATGCTATGTCCAATATACCTTAGTTTGCGCTCTTTGATTGTTCGCATCAGCTCCTTGTTTTTCTGCATTTTATTGAGAACTTCGGTGTTTCTTACTATCTCGATCCAGGCTATGCGTAATATTCTCCTATAAAGATGCATTTGTATCTAGTCTTTGTTTTGTGCTCTCTCTGCTCTTCCATCATTTGTAAAATCTCGTCTGTCATCCAGGGTTGTTTTTTCGTTTGTCTTTGGAAACAAGTACCTTTTGTTTGTGTTTCTAGTAGTGCGGTTTTCATCTGCGTCCACCTCTCCTCGATTATTGTGCTCGGTTCGATCTTCTGCATTTTTTCCAAGACTACGCGGCTGTCGTCTTCGTCGACGGGCTTTTCAGTTTTGCTTTGTCTATACGTTTTGATGGTTTAGGACGGTTAACATGTTTGTATCGACGCATCTTGTTTTCTATTACAACTCGATTGTGATCGCTGTTTACTGTGCTCCAGGATATGTTTTTGCGGTTCTCACCGAATTCTCGTGAGCAAGTACCACAAAAAACCCAAAATTCGACACCACAACTGGAACACACAAACAGTGAGATTGAGAAACTTAACTGCCGAAAAACAACAAATTTCCAAAGTCATGGAAGAACGGCATAATTAATCCCTATACCAGAGAATGGAATCAACGATACACAAATACAAAACTACAGACCATTACTTTACTACCGGTACAGAGCCAATTATATGAGCTTATAATTAAAAACAGACTTCAAGAAAAAATAGGAAAACATACCCACGTACCAATGTGGCGTCAAACCGATGTACTCGGCCATTCATCAATTGTTGATATTGACAAACAATCTGCAGACAACTATTTGGACTACTACTATTCATGGACATCAACAAGACTTTTGATAATGTATGACCCAAAGGTCTACTAAACGATCTACACAAACTTCACACACCAAAATATCTAATACATATTATCAGGGACCTAAGGGAACAAAAGAAAGTTGGAATACTAAGACAGTGGCTGCCCGAAAGGGCGTGCAATGTTGGCACACCGACGGCGCACGGGCCCCCAATACCGGATGGTCTGGGGCAGGCTTCTACCGGCAAGACACCAACAGGGGAGCGTCCTTTCGCTGGGAAGCTGGACGACAGTGTTTCATGCGAAATTATATACATTCCTCGAGGTTGCCACAGATAGGCAAGTTACAGAAGGAGTAGAGGAAGTGAGATCTACTCCGACAGCCAGGTTGCCCATAAGGCAGTCTCAAGTGTTAAGATGGACAGTAGACTGATCCAGGATTGCTTGGACGTCTTGAACAAAGTGGCTTTACTTTTATTCCCATTTTCTCCGGAAAAGGGGTCACCCCTTTCACTATTTTTATACAACGTATACTTTTTATTTTTTTATTTTTTTTATTAAACTCCCCGTACGACATTTACTATCATTACGATCTGATCAAAGTTGATCAATGAGTAATTCACGTGTTGATGAAGCCGTTGTTCGTGACTCCTTGCAAATCTCATGATAGTCTGGGCAACAGTATCCATCTGAAGGTCTCGATGAATATCACTATTCCTGATGTACCAAGGCGCATTAAGAATGTTT